AAAAAAAAAAAGAAAAAGAGAGACAGAGAGGTATAAAATCATGCATCAAAGTTCAGCTTTGAAAAAACAAAAAATACCTTCATCTTCAGCACGGTCATTACTGGTTATATCATCTCCGTTTTTCCTGACATTCGCTCCTGGGGTCATATTGAGAAGGAAAATAAAGGGGAAAAAAAAAAAAAGAGAATTCAAAAACAACAGGTTTGCAAAAATTCAGAAGAGAGAGAGATGCCACCCAGTAAAAGAAAAAAAGAATGTAACAAAAAGTCGAAACCTGTTACATCTGGACTTCAGAAAAAATGAAGTAGGGCAATGCAAAACGTATATGAACACAAAGATGTTGAGAAGAACGAAATTCAAAATGTTACTTGCAAAAAAGATTAGAGATCTTGTGAAAATGTACTTTGGGGGTTAAAATGGTACTACTGCCAAAAGAACAAAAAAAGCTAATGTGCGTTGTTTATCTTTAAAAAAAGAGAGAGAGAGAGAAAATTAAATTATTAGAAAAGAGATTTCCCACATTATTGAAAGAAATGCATATAACATAATGAATAGCCCTCTGATTTTAACATGTTATGATCTCAAACGCGTTTTTGAAAATTCGCTGATACACTATGGCCACGAAATTTCGTAATGTAAGGGAAGGTGCACTTAAAAATAAACGTGGAAGGACTGTAAGGAGAATATCAGAAAACATTCGCTTCATGCATTAAAAACTTAAAAACACACAATTGCAAAAATAATCAAACAGGTCACTATTTTAAATCACTACAAGGTACGTCTCCTCAGGGCTTAGAAAACCACTATTGTTATTCCCTGTAACTTTCTGTCACAAAAAAGAAATCATTTGCAATACATATACCTTAAGTCAAGACTCAGCTTGGTAAGCCGTGCTCTCTGCGCTTGAAATACTCAGCATTATTTGAAAGTGACCATAACTTGAATTTGTAAAACTATACAATGAAGATGGTTGTCACCTACCTGGATCACCTCAAATAAAATCTGTGTTGGAATTTCGATATAAGCAAAATTCAGGGGCGGGAGGGGTCTAACTATACCCCCCAAACTCTCCTCTGCCCTTTGTATATAGAGTATACCATTTTATGTTTTCTGTTTTCCAGAGGCTAACACATTTCATTTCCGCTGGACTGAGTTGGTTAATTGGCCCAATTATCTCCTTTTTGTCGGCGGATACAACCCATATATTGTTCTTGGAAAATCACTTCAATTGAAGTGGAGCGGTAAAAAAAAAAAAGATCTTTCCAGGGAGTGGCTGGGTGAGAGAATTAAGATACAGGGAAAATCTGTCCTGGGAAATTCTTGTGAAGGGAGAACATTCCTCAGATCGACACAACTCAGGAGCTTCAAGACATAATTTGGCTGTTTTCTTAAGTCTCACAAAGGTTAAAGATTTTCTATCTTTAAAGATTATTTATATCTTCAGCCTTTGACTCAGCACCCTGGAACAACGAGATCTGGGTAAGCAGGTGGGTGAGAAAATTGATCTGCAGTGTTTGTTCATTTTTGTACTTCATATATTCCCACCGTAGACGATTTCAGGCCACCAGCAAGAAGAGACAGCTCACAGTTGGGGAAGGTACCCAAGATGTCTTAAAAAACTGGTACATCGGCTCGGCACCTGTGGCTCAAGTGGCCAAGGCGCCAGCCACATACACCTAAGGTGGTGGGTTCGAATCCAGCCCGGCCCACCAAACAACAATGATGGCTACAACCAAAAAAATAGCCGGGCGTTGTGGCGGACGCCTGTGGTCCCAGCTACTTGGGAGGCAGAGGCAGGAGACTCCCTTGAGCCCAGGAGTTGGAGATTGCTGTGAGTGATGCCATGGTACTCTACCCAGGGAGACAGCTTGATGCTACATCTCAAAAAAAAAAAAAAACTGGTACATCTGGGGAAGGGGGGGAGCTGAGAGGTGGGGGGCACTCTTCCTGTAACACATTCATTTCCAATTCTTCAGAAAGTTATCACGGTATCGCTGTGTCAGTTTAGTATAATAATTAGTTTTATACAGTAATATATACATGTCCAAGAATTCTAATGCATTTTTTTTAGGAGACAAAGTCTTACTTTATCACCCTTGGTAGAGTGCTGTGACATCACAGCTCACAGCAACCTCCAACTCCTGGGTTTAGGCGGTTCTCTTGCCTCAGCCTCCTGAGTAGCTGGGACTACAAACGCCTGCCAGAATGCCCGGCTATTTTTTTGTTGTAGTTTGGCCTGGGCCAGGTTTGAACCTGCCACCATCGGTATATGGGGTCAGTGCCCTATCCACTGAGCTGCAGGTGCCACCCTAAAAACTTTTTAAAAAATCAATTTCCAGCAAATTATCTTGACTGTAAATTTTGGTCGTTTTTCTCTGAGTTTATCAGTATAACATATAAGGCAAAGCCATCTCATGGACGGAATTTACTATTATACTGTGTTCCATGGTGGCTCACACCCATAATCCCAGCACTCTGGGAGGCTGAGGCAAATGCATTACTTGAGCTCAGGAGTTCCAGACCAGCCAGAGCCAGGACTAGATCTGGTCCATAAAAATAGCCAGGTATTGTGGCGGGTACCTGTAATCCCAGCTACTCAGGAGGCTGAGGCAAGAGGATCACTTGAGCCCAGGAGTTTGAGGTTGCTGCAAGCTATGATGCCACAGTGCTCCACCCAGGATGACAGAGTGAGACTCTGTCTCAAAAAAAAAGAAAAAAAATTGTGTTCAGGAAACTACAGAACAAAGTTGCAACATTAATGACACACTGAATCATTTGTTTTTACTAGAAAACATACTCATCCTGGATTCTGACAGTACTGTAATTCATTCACTCCCAGAAATGTTCTGTTTTTATGGTGTTCTTGCCTTAAAAAACAAAAGATAGTAAAATTAAATGTGTAGTCAAAAGACTTGGACTAGATTTGGGAAGGTAATGTGTCTCCATAGTTAAGTTAAAGGCTTCTCCAGCAAAATGTGTCCCTTAGCTGGGCTCCCTGGCTCAGTGGTTAGAGCACTGGTCTTATAAACCATGGGTCACGAGTTCAATGCTCCCTGGGACCTCTGGCTGATTTTAAATATATATATTCTTTTAACTCTGGCTATCTTTCCTAGCTCAGTCTTCCAGAAGACAGAGCAGAGGCAGTGGAAAGGCGTCCTGTAATTCAGCTCTCATTTCTGGAATGTCTCTTTGCCCTGAACCTGGCTTTACATCCCATCTCTTTTGAATGTCCTTATTAGAAATTCCCTTTCTCCGGTGGCACCTGTGGCTCAAAGGAGTAGGGCACTGGCCCCTTATGCTGGATATGGCCGGTTCTAACTGGGCCCTGGGCCAAAAAACTGCAAAACAAAAATAGAAATTTCCTTTCTCTAGCTGGGCAGTGTGGCGGGTGCGTATAGTCCCAGCTACTTGGGAGGCTGAGGCAAGAGGATCACTTAAGCCCAAGAGTTTGAGTGTGCTGTGAGCTGTGACATCACGTACTTTATAGAGGGGGACTGCTTGAGACTCTGTCTCAAAAATAAACAAAACCAGTTCCACATGCCTCCCCGCCAATTGCCTGGTATTTTAACTGTACTTGGTTAGAACTGATGACACTGAATTATTAGTATTGTGTAGAAAGTCACTAACTACCCTCGTGATTATGCTAAGGTGGTCTCTATACCATCCGTATATGATACTGAAATGTTAAAAGAACAAGCTTGACTCATTTTACTATTTATTCCCTTTTACTTTCAAAACTAGTTCCTCTTGTTTGCCCTCTGGTTGCATAACTGTGAATGCATTTGCTTGTGATTGAGGCCCCAGTGATTAGACCTTTACGTGTAAATGCCCCCCAGCCCCTGCATTCCTCCCCCCCCCCCCGTCCCAGGACATTGTGGTTTGTACTTATTTTGAAAGGAAGAAAAATCACTCATTGCTCTCATGATCATAGCATTGTGCAAAATGACTAACAGCCTTGACCTCCTGATTCCCATGACCCCTTTAATGGCTATTTTTGCTTCTGTAATAACACCTGCTTGCCCCACTCTTCCCTAGAAAAGCTTTGCTCTATAAAAACCAGAGCCGCAGACAACTCAGGGCTGCTCTCAGAAACCCCATGTTGGGACACTGAGGCAGTCACCGGCCGGCTCTTCAATAAAAGGACTCCTCTGCAAATCCGACTTGTCTGGCTGTGAGGTCTCTGGGGGAACTCCTGGAAATGACACTGGGATTACAGGTGTGAGCCACCTCAGCCGGCTGCATCAGCATCGTCTACTTTTAGAATAATTTTGTCAGCTTGGCGCCTGTGGCTCAAGTGGCTAAGGCGCCAGCCACGTACACCCAAGGTGGCGGGTTCGAATCCAGCCCGGGCTTGCCAAACAACGACGGCTGCAACCAAAAAATAGCCGGGTATTGTGGCAGACCCCTGTGGTCCCAGCTACTTGGGAGGCAGAGGCAGAA